AAATGACCTGAACATTTACTGTAGGTTCATTTTTCAATTCATTTATTTTTTAACGTCCCAGTGAGAAGTTAATTGTATGTAGTACCTCCCGGGTCGCACCCAAACCGTATTTTTGATAAAAGATTTCTTAAGGCAGGCGTCATTAGAAGCTACAATAGTTTCAGCCCAAATAGACTTTAAAATAATTCGAAATGGTCTGTATTCTGTCGAAACTGCCAGACGCGGATCGCGATTTCGATTTTCTTGGATCTCATCAGCGCGTCGCAGGCAGCTCCGCTGTCTTAACAGTGCGTTTTAGAAAATATTACAAATGGCGCAGTAAACGCCATCTGTAGTACGATGCTACATTTTAGGACTACGTATGCAGACCATTTCGAATTATTTTATTCAATTAAGCTAACGTGCCTATCACGTTGAGGTTGGCTACGCCGGGATTCGTTTTCAGCAAGTAGATATCCACACAAGTGGACCTTGTTGGAGCATACGTAATCCTAAAATGTAGCATCGTGCTACGGATGGCGTTTACTGCGCCATTTGTAGTATTTTCAAATAGACTTTGTTATGATGTACATATATGTAGGTATGCACTTATCTATACTAAACAGTGACGTCTTGGGGGGTTCACATAAATGGTGCAAGATAAGTATATATAACAATTCTCTTAAGATTTTTCGCTGTAATTTTTTCATCATATGTTAATTGCGACAATGTACTGTCATTACTACAGCGACGAAATTAGATAAAGTAATTTGTGTATTTCGAGACCGACCCTTTTACTTCCTTGGTTGCGCTTAGGAAGCTCCGATGATGATTCACCCAATCAATATTAACGAGCGAAAGTGACCCCGATAATTCTCTTACCCTTCGTCTCATTTCTTATCCGAAATTTCGCAGTTTCTGTAGTAAATACACTGAAAATCGTACATGTATTGGTATATTTATGTGTGTGTGAGTATGTATAGGTTTGATTAATCTCCGTCGATCGTAGCAGGCGAAGACGGAAGGAAGGAAGTGAGGAAGGTTGTTCTTCCATAAATATTAAGCAAACTTTAGCGGGACCATTAATACAACTTTGAAATTAATTCATACGTGGATTGATGGGCGTGTAAAAGTATACATCTACGCCGAATTGCGAATTAATGTGCACCCCGTGACCCAGCAACGTCATCATCGCGGGGGAAGGCAATTTATCATACCTCGTTAATTTTTTGACGCTTCGATATTTAAATGGTGCATTTATTTTTTTTTTTCGATGTGTACAGGCATTTCCGGAATTAATACCGAAACTTATATCCGGGTAGTACAGGAATTGTATCAGTAACGTTTGGTATCTACCACCTTTAAAATATATTGTGTTATTAGGTACTATATGGGTGCGAGACATGGACAGTGGGAGCGGCGGAAAAGAAAAGGTTAGAAGCTTTCGAAATGTGGTGTTATAGGCGGATGATGAGGATATCGTGGGTAGAAAAGGTTAGAAATGAAGAGGCATTGGAAAGAATAGGAGAACAGAGGACTCTATGGAANCGCCCACCAGCATTACTGGCTGGTGGGAATGAAACACCCAAAAGTTTTTTTTTTTTTTTTTTGAATGGGTAGCAGTATGAGTTAGAGAGTTCGAGGCGGTACAAAGCGAAGGAAGAAGCGAAGAAGTGACAAAGTGTTTATATGGTGGTGAATTGATAACTGTTTGATAACAGAAGTGTTAATTAGAGAGGAAGTAGATAAATAAATGTAGTAATAGAACGAGAAGGTGTTTCAATACCTGATAATACATTAATTAATTATCTCACTTTATTTTTAAAATAACGTGATCCAAATCCGCCTGAGCGCATGGTGAATAATTGTAGTGACCTTTTTATAAACTAATTTATTAAAAGGTTTATTGTATGGAATTTTAAGGTGTAAATCAGTTTATTTTAAAATTTCTATTTAGTTTCTGAAAAACAACTTTCAAACATTATTTTAAAATTTTGTTGATTTACTGCAATTACGTAGGAATAAAGTATTATGCAGGCTGTTCCAGGTTTAATTGATCAAAGTTAAAACCTGAATTTCTGACCCTAAAACACGAAAAAAGTTGCTTATGAAGGCTGGTCCGGAAACGCTTAAAATATAAAATAGTTACACCCTTCTAAAGATCATCATCATCATCATAAGGTCGTCAGTCCTAAGACTGGTTGGACACGTACCTCCACTCTTTCCTATCCTGAGCTAAACTTCGCATTTCCCTAAAACTAGAACAGCCCACATCCTTAACTATTTGCGAACAGTAATCTAATCTAGGTCTACCTCTA